AAAACTGTACTTACAACAATACAGTAACAACGTGCAATTCTAACTCCTAATCATGTATCTACTATCCGCGAACCAATAGATCACTTCTAGAGTTTCCATGTCGAAACGACGGACATGATCTATTTTTTCTGTTTTTAGATTACTAGTGTCATCTCATCCGCGTGCTATTGCTTTCAGCAGATCGTCATGCAGTGATCAACTGAGGTCGTTTGACTAACTGTCATGCTCAACAGCATTTTCAGAGATTCCTCACGCGGTCCTATAATTGGCCCATTTCATTAAATCAGCAGCAGTGCCCTGTGACAAATTTACAAGCATCGCATTTAATCCTGTTATGACCACCTGCAATTAAGGTAATAATAATACGCGACTTAAGTCCACATGCACCACCGCTGTCATGGCCGATCTAAGTCACGCTGAGAGTATCTTAAAACTGTCGGCCGCTCGTGCATTCTTCAACAGTAAACCGTTGGACGCAAAGACAGGTTTGCCAGCCACAGCTTTCCTACAGTAAGGTATCTGTTACCTGCTACGCTATGACAGACTGATGCATGCACACGTTTGACCGGCGGTATAAAACAACTCTACAACTCTTTGAGGAAAACGGAAGTTCAAGACATAATCGAAGCTAAGAAAAATGACTTATGCTGTCTGGCTTCCTAGGATATTCAGTGCATGAAGCTGCAGCGCAGGCAGGGAAGCTGTGAAGAGAAGCGCATAAGAATCGTTCACGAGGAAATTCATTGTGACCATCGTATTTTGGGAGATTCTCCGCCACCTCCGCAAGGGAAGGCCAGGTACTGTCCAAGCTACGAACAGGTTGGATAAAAATCTTCATGAAGATTACGTCTTCTAGAAATGAAATGAGTGTCTTGAGGAGTTAATAAATTAGGCAACTGCGGATCCTGGCGACGCCCACCAGAAACATTTGCGCACTGAATTTAGGCATGTTTTGACCACGTGACAGCAGTGATAAAATTTTTTGAAAAACGTCAAGGCATTTGAGAAAAATGCACTAAATACGGATACGTACTATTTGATAGACCAATTGCGGCGAACCGTAATGCATTCTACGACTGCATCGTCAATGCTAGTGAGTTTGAAAAGGTATGCGAGACAATGTAAGTTCAGTGTGATTGTCCCCATGTAGCGAATAAGAATCGGAAGGACTGCAGCCACTATTGAGGCATTTCACTGCTTCGGCTCCATAAAAATTACACAACATGTTTGCAAAGAGATTTCGAAAACAGGTAGAGCCCCAGGTATAGGGAGATAAGAGCTACTTTTAACCTGATTGAAGTACAATGACTCAGAATTTTTACCTACTCCAGATCGGCGTAAATCCTTGCCGTGTGCGAATGAGTATCCCGAGGAGATTATTGCAGATATATGAACTTTAGAGATGAAATAACTGTACCAATACATTAAACAATTGCTCATAGATTTGTTTAGGAGTCAGTGATTAAGAGCTGATAATCTTCAGAGTGTATCGAAATCCGTCAAGTGCACTCGCTGTTTCTTCACCAGGTAAATGAGTTAGATAAACAGATACAGTAGAGACATGACGAACATCACACTTTACCATGCTTGATTGAATTACCTGCTGGTTAGGAATGATTTCATCGTGCTCGCTTATTCTCATGCAATCCTCAAACTTGCTTTGGCTGGGTTCGCTGTTGCACGCAACGAAGTTGGGATGGATTTCTGTCAGATCGGTACGTGGGCTTTAATACTTTTGATGAGTACCACTCAGCTTTCGCACTGGATGCTCCTGAAGTTGGTAGAGAAATTTAAGTCTCAAAGTATCATTCATGAGTGACGGCAGGCAAGACGTAGAAGTAGAACACGAGTCGGTAAAGCGAGTCCAATATAGTGGGAATTTTAGGGTTCTATCCTGTTGGAAAAAAAACATTGGGCAGCATTGCAATGCTGTCTCCAGGTTTTTCTCTACCCCCAACCGCATCTACAGAATGACCGTTGGATACAAGAAGAAGAAATAAATTTTTTTCGAAGGATTGCTTCTGTGATGAGGTTCCATGAGAAGCAGAGAATTTCGGTCTGGGATACTTTGTCTAAATCGAGAGATCGCAAAAGAAATGATTTGGGCTTATGGTGAAGATTCCAGAGAAGAGACTTTCATGGTGAATCTCTTCGCAAGGCTACAGATCAAGTGATCAAGGGCCATGTTATTTGAGCATATCGAGCACATGGGATTTTTGTAAAATAATTTTAGCGACATGGGCCAGCTTTAATCGCATTAAAACAACATTACGCGACAGTGACCTGCTCATGCAAGCTAGAAAGAACCGTTCAATTCAACCTTCCTACCCATCATTACCTACGGCGCGCAATGTTGATGTGCTATTAAAACCGAGGAGAACAAACTGACAATTACACAAAGAGAGACGTAGCGAAAATGTGCAGTGTCCTTCCGAGAACACGAACCGAGTGCATAGCTAAGATCATGGACTGAAGTGATTTCTGCCTTCTACGATGTCATAAGAAGATGGGTCAGCCGCGTGATTCGTCTTAGATACAATTGAGAAACATCAGGGATTACGGAGTTGTTCCGCTGGACTACAAAAGGACATTCAGTCGTCCAAGAACACGATGAGACGAGCCGATGGCCAGATCACTTGGTCAGAGGCTGAAGAAAAAAGTGAAGAAGCGAGAATGCTAGAGAAGCGTCGATTTGTGCTGATAGCACACCCCTAATGAGGACAACGGATCTAAAACGTAATGGCACACACTTGCAATTTAAGATTGAATCGCTGAAATTCAGAAAATTCCTGTGCTTCTGGTTGCTAGTTGGCATAGGAAGTGTTTGCAGAAAGGCATTTGTGTCAGGAATTTACGATGAAGTTTGAACAGTGTTCTTTCTCAAGCAATTATATTAGCACTGCAAGATCTGCATGACTTTTGAACTCACGTAGAATGACTGATCGTTATCAGTTAGAGGCGCGCTTAATTAACAAATGGAAACTGTTTAATTATCTGCTGTAATTCCAAATTTCATTTTTGCCT